ATCACACTCACGTCTGAAAAATGGCCTGCGTTCTAGAGAAACATGGGTGGGAGGGCAGGACGGCAGCATGAGAACAGTCAGGCATTCTGGGCAGCGTTTGCACAGGCAGGCTCTGGGCCTGCTCTCCGGGCCTCCATCGTCCCCAGGTGTAGGAAGGAGATAGTGAATGCAGATCCCTGGCAGCTGCTGGCTGCCATCATGGGGGCCGGTGGAACCCCCGAGACTGGGCAAGCAGGAGTGCAGCTCTTTTAAACTGAGCAGTCTTGCAGCCCTGAAAATTCTCCTGTGTGTGTGTGTGTGTATGTGTGTGTGTGTGTGTGTGAGTGTGTGTGAGTGTGTGCAGGCATGCGCGATTGCCTGCTCGCCTCTCTCCCTCTATTTATAGACTCCTGAAGGGGGCAGGGATAAGGTCTCCATCACTGCCAGGCAAGGGAGGTAAAAGGATTTTGTCTGTCAAAGATGTACAGAAGATGCAGTCGTGTTTGCACAGAAATCTCTGGCGCATACTGAAGGCTGAGAAGAGCAAAGAGGCTGAAATTAAAACACAGGCTGGCTAGTTACTAAATACAATGTGTTTCTGAGAGGTGTTAGCAGCTGTTTAGAGTCTGGAGCATGGCAGAGCATGTAATTCTGTCTTACTTACGCAGCAAGTACACGGGGCTCTGGCTGGGAACTGACACGGCAGAGCTGAGCAGAGAAACGCATTCCACGCATTCCCAGGTCGGTACAAAGAGCAGCTGGGTCCAGACAGCACGGCTGAAACTCGGGGAGTAGGAGATATTCTCACTCTCCTTCCTGGGAAAAAGTGCGGATTAGGCCTCCAGCCCTGGCTGACCGAGGAGCACGACCCTTTCTCAGTCTTCCAGATGCCCAATGCTTTTCCTTCAAATGCAGGATCAGAGATAAGGCAGCCACATCTTAGAAACAGTGGCGGAGGCCCCCTGTGGGATGTAACAATGAGCAAGGCTTGAAATATGTTTAGGAAAGAGGGGTATGTAGGACAGTCTAGGCTGAGGAAAAGGCAAGAGGAGGCAACGATGAAAACAGTATAATATGTGTATCTGTCAACTATTGCCACAACAGTGCTGCGTAACAAACATCCTAAGCTTAGTGGTACACCACAACATCATTTTCTCTTTCTCAGATCTGTGGGTGGGCAGGGAGGTATGCCTTGCCTTCATAGGAAGAACTACGAATTCCCACCATGGGAGGTGCAGCTAAGGGGAGGGATGATTAATTAGGACCCCTACTTACATGCCCCACAGGCTCTGAGGGACACAGGCAAACAATGGAGGGATTTGCTGCAGAACTACACACAGGACGCAGGTAAGGGGGGGAAGACATTGAAGAGACAGGGGAAGAACAAGAAGGTGCGCTTCCTTGTGGACGTGCCGAGGTGCAGCGGTGGGGAGAGGAGTGTTGGAGGCGGGCCCTCTGCGGTCCACTCTCCGCTGGGTGCCGAGCACCTCAAACTGTGCCCTGGAGGTGCTCAGGAAACCAGTGGTCCACTGAGAGCTGCCTGGAATTTAAGTCTGGAATTTGGGAAGCAACTTGGCCCAGAGTCAAGACTCAGGGGTCTCTGAGATCTGGTCATTGCAGCCTCTGGGACCAACGTCTCTGAGACGGCCACTCGTGGGCTGGTGACCATCACGGCCATGGCGGCCAGACTTACCTTCGAAGCTTTTTCTTCTCACACTGATGCCCACTCCTCCAGCACAGTGCTAGCCTCGGAGGGTCTGTTCCTGCTACCTTCCCAGCCCCTTTGCTCCTTCCTCCAGGGCCCTGCAGCCCTCTCTCGGCCCTGCACCCCTCCCTGCCTCCCAGTCTTACTCTAGTAGATCTCTGCTTTAAAGTTCTTGCTCTTTTTCATGTCTTGAATGCTACTCACCCTGGAGGACCAACTCAAATGCCACCTGCTCGGGGAGGCCTTCGGGCCTGCTCCTCACGAGGAACCCCTCCCATCCACAGCTCACTCACATCCCATTGTGGAAGGCCACCAGGATGCAATGTGAGGTGCTGGCTGACTTCTGGGACTCTTGCAGGCCCCAGGGGCCTCACAGTCATCCCCTGCTCTCACCAGATGCACCTCCCACCCCACGGGAAGGCTCCCCACCCGGCCAGGACGCCAACTGCCAAACCAGTCACACCCCACCCAGGCTCAGTTTGACAGTCTCATCTCCCTGCCAGCCAGCAGTTACTGGAATGGCTTATCCGTTCTCCTGGGGTCACTCCAAAGCCTGACACTCCAAAGGCTGCCCGTAGGCCTGCTGGTTCACTGCTCCCTCGCACACCCCCTGGCGGCCCTGCATGGGGTGGTGTCGTCCCCAGACTGAGAGTCCCCTCTGTCCAGTACCAGGTGTTATGTGCCCAGAGTCTCCTACTACTTGGAGTGGCGGATCCTGTCCTCACCAGCACCGTGAACGGGAAGTGGTCAGGACATCTCCTCCCTGTTCCCGCCAGCCTTGGCTTCAGGGAGGCACATCTGTGCTGTCCATCCTCAAGGTCAGGGACTGCGTGACTCTGTCTCGGTGGCCCCAGCATGGCCTGGCCCATGGAAGGGCTCAGGGAACAGGTGTGGGCAGATGGTTCCTTCATACACCCCTCTCTCGCCCCAGCGGTCCCCAACCCCTCCTCCCAGCTCCCACATCCCTCTAGGCCTCATGGTACCAGATAAAGACATGCAACTTGGGGCTCGCTCTTGCTTTCGAAGGCTCCTTTGTCCGCGTCTAGACTGAGTCGGGCGTGTGGGGCATTTGTCACTGCCATGAGTCCTCGCACAGGTCCCCTCCAGAGGCAGGTCCCCAGCCATTAGCTATCTCCAGAAGCCCAGCCAGTTCCCGCACACGACCCTTGCTCAGCTGCAAATGATGTTTAATTTTTCCATAAATTAACTTGCACGATGTCACACCACATTACTGCGCCTTGGAACATTCCCACTCTGATCTGTGAGCAGCTGACATGCCTGGCGATGCCACGATTTTCCCCAGGGACGTTTTCCTGTAATGTAACTGATTAAAATATAGCTGACTGCGGGAGAGGCCCCGGCGTTCCAGCCGGCCGCGGGTGAGCCAGCGAAACCCAGAGATAATGAATAATGGCTTTTGGGAAAACTGATAATGCACCCGCTATTATATTGACTGGGGCTGCGGCTCCAGTTAATCGCGCTAAATTGCTAGGCTGGAGCCGAGTTCCACCAGGCTGGGCCGCTGTCGTCCTCTTTGGAAAATTTTCATTTGTTTGAAGTTGGGTCTTTGTCACTTCCTCCTGGAACGCCATTCAGACGAGGTGGCTATTTTTGCTGGCGCTGCCGTGGGAGTGCGAGTTAGGCTGCATCAGCGCGATGGACTCCATCTGTCCCTGCACCCCTTCCCAGCTGAGTGCCGCCCCTGTGCGTGTACAGCACAGGCTGAAACCAGGACGGGCGGCCGCGCGCTCAGAAGCTCATGGTCCCGGGCAGGACAGACGGCACTCACACTTCAGGGCTATGTGTCAGCTGGAGTCAGATGAGGAGTGGGTTCAATTCCTGCCTCCTCCACTTTCTAGACTGGTGACCTTGAGCCTCAGCCCCTGGTCTGTGGAGAGGGGATGCTTGCTTCAGAGTGCAGGGCGTGATGGGCCAGGCGGACTGGCAGTGGAGCACCCTGCCTGGCACACAGCAGATGCCCACCTAGTGGTCCTTATCCTTCTGACGGAGGACTACGAAAGGCCACAGGACACAGAGGAAGGAGTGAAAGGCTACCTGGGAGGTCAGGGCTGCCTCCCAAAGGTGGTGACACAGGAATTGGTTTTGTTTAGGGAAGAAGAGGCAGACGAGGAGCCTGGACGAGGCCTGGAGACCCAGTGCACCCAGAGAGGGTAGGACAAGGTGGGAGGACAGCGGCCGGCTCCTGCTGGGAGCCCCAGCAAGCCGGAGCACAGAACCACCTGCGGGGAGGCTCCTCCCCATGCTGGGCAGAATGTTCCATGGGCAGAGGGGTGGGACTAATGAAAGAAACTGGCCGGCTCTTTGATGCAGGGATAGCGCAATGGAAGCTGGATCCCACCAGTGACCTCGGTTCAAATCCCTGACCTGGTCAGCCTAAAGCACACCAGACATGTGTGGGTGCTCGGGATCGATGGCTGGAGGAAGGGGATGGCGGTGTGGCCAGACCCTGCGGTGGGCCCCTCTCTCTCATCCTCAGGTGTGCGTACATGTACTCTAAAATTAACAAAGGAAAAGGGTTCAGGAAAAGAAAAAAGAGAATAAAAGAACCGAGACCAGTTAGGGGGCAACGGGGTGATGGTGGGGGCGGCAGTGGGAGTGGGGGAGGCGGGGAACAGGGCGTTGTCCTCTGGCGGAGTTCACAGGCGAGGAAGAGGACATCCCCAAAGGCCTCCTCACAGGACAGTGACTAGCAGCACAGGCTGGGCTTCCACTGCTCACAAGCTGTGCGGCTCTGTCAAATCACTGCCCTCTCTGCGCCTCTTTGCTTAATGAGCAATAAGTAATGGCATCTTCCTCACGAGGGGGCCATGTGCGTCTGGTGAATGTTAATCTCATGGAGCAGACGATGACGAGGCCACAGCCGACACCGAGGACCTGTGGGAGCTGACTTGACCCCTGCCAGCCGCTGCTGTCTCCATCCGTGCGCCGGGGCCAGGAGGCCCTGAGCCAGGCCCCTACACAGGGTTCATCAGCGGGGTGCCCTTCCGATTCTGCAGGGTGATGGCTTGGGGAGTGGCACCATGGCTGGGCAGCAGATGTCCCGGGTCCCTGGAGATCGTCACCATCACAGCCAGCTCTGCAGGATTGGCGATCCTGAACTTCCTGACCTAAGACCGGGATGGGGGTGGCCTCCGAGGGACTGCCTCTCCGAGATCTCTGCCCAGATGCCCCGGGGGACCCCCGCCTACCCTCCTCCCGGCCCACACGCTCCATCCTTCCGCCTCTCCGGGTGCAGAGACGATGCTGGCCCTTAAAGGCAACTCAGTAACCGGACAATCGAGGGTAAATCGGCACAGCACTTTTCGGAAGGCTTTTACATAAGCAAACGCTAAATCGGGAAAACATCTTTGGGCAGACCATCTGTCTCAATCTGAGCTCTGGAAAATACGGTCACCTAGCAATGTTCCCGTGTCAGCCTCCAAACACCAGGCACCAGGCAGGCAAGCGAGCGTCAGGGGCTCCGACACAGACCACATGCCCTCCTCGGGGATTCTCAGAAGCCTTCCTTCCGCCCCCTCTGACCACAGGTGTCTGGGCCAGAGCTGCCCCGGATGGGAGGCTAGAGGAGGGGCCGAGCGATTTGTGGGGTGGGGGGTTGGAGCCTCCATCGGTCCACAGCTGGCTGCACGCACATGCACTCACACGGCTTCGGCAGGCTGTGCTGTATGATGGGTTCCATGCCTTCGTGGGACAGACTGGGCTGGCCTTTGGGGCACAAGGTGGGCCACGGCAAAGTCATCTCTTCTCCCCGACACGCCTGCTTCTTGGGGTGCAGACATTGGTCAGGCAGCTGTGCAGCCTCCAGAGAGGAGGAGGCAGCTGAGCACGCAGAGGCTGGGGGCGTGCAGGGCCGGGTGTGGGCAGCAGAATGCGAGGGTCCTCAGAGTGAGGGGGTGGCAGTATGGAAGTGATCCCTGGATGAGAGCACGGCAGAGGGGCAGCCAGAGACACAGAGACCATACACGGGAGGGTCCTGGGTTCTATTCCCGAGGCCTTTCCTGACATGCCAGTCACACGTGCTCCATGACCAGGCTGCCTGAGGCCGGGGGTGGATTGTGGCTTGAGGACGCTGTTGGAGGGCTCTCTCGCGCTCTCTGTTATGGAAGAAAGAAAAAGAAATTTAAAATGTTGTAATTTGACCAAGGCGAGTTCAGGCTAGACAAATGACTCTTTTAGGATTTTTAACTCCTGTGCCTTTTTTGTTTTATGCTTATTCTTTGAGAACCAATGAGTCTTCGAGTAGGAAAATGGAAAGTGCTCCATGTTCTGGGAGTGAGGGATTCTGGCCAGCCGGTGGTGCGGTAGCTATGGAGCTGGACCCCGCACGGCTGGCTGAACGGTGTCAGCCCAGAGCCAGAGGCTTAAAACACGCTGGGCATATGTATGTGCCCAAAATCCCCGAAGGAGAAATGGAGAAGGGGTTACTGTGTGGCCATCCCCCATGGGGGGGCTTTTAATTTTCTTCTCTCTCTCTCTCTCTCTCTGGTAAGTACACATATCCTCTGGAAAATTAAAAAAGAAAGAAAGAAAACGAAATAAGGAAGAAAGAGAATTCAATACAAGAGGCTGGGAAGGGCAGTCATGTGCTCACAGACTTGCAACCCCTAACTGGTGGCCTAAAGAAGGACCTTGGGCCCAAACGTGGCCTTACAGCCCCGGGAGCTCGTGCAGCCTGCATGGCCACCAGTGCTGATCCCAGAAGAGCAAATCCCCCTGAAGTATAATTCTGGTAAAAATAATTCAAAAAAGTCTTTAAAAGATATTTGCACTTATGTATTTAAATAATGATTTATTTTATTTTATTTGTTGTTATTATTACTTTTAAAATTTTGACCAGAGAGAGAGATACATACACACACACATACACACACACACACAGAGAGAGAGAGAGAGAGAGGGAAAGGAAAAGTGAGAAAGTAAGCTGCCAGGTCTGGGGCTTAAACCGCAGTCGGCCATGTGGGAGTCCAGCACTCCAACCACCATGCCACCTGCTGGCCCCTTTGTTTATATGTATATATATATATTTTTTGAGAGATTTTCACTATAGGGTGCGTGCGCTCGCCAGACAGACAGAGAGAGAGATAGAGACAGAAAGCGAGAAATCACCCCCCAGGGAGGATGGCCACGCCGCAATCCCTTCTCCTCCATTCTCCTCTCGGGATCTTGGGCACGCATGCACACGTGCCTGGCGTGAGTTTTAAGCCACTGGGTCCAGGACGCGAACCGCAGTCGACTATGTGGGAGTCCAGCGACATAGCCATTACGCTAACTGCTGGTTCCCCCTTTGTTTATATTTTTAAAGGGAGTTTATTTGAAAAACATAAAATCACAAAAAAAATACTCCTTAGGCCACTTTACATGATAAAATAGACAATAATAACAGGTTTTTTTCTTTTTAAGGTTTTTGCCATGGGTGCATGCGCTCACTTGAGAGAAACAATGAGAGGGAAACTGAGAAATTACCCGCCCCAGAAGCGACGGCCTTGCCACTGTCCCTTCTCCTCCATTCTCCTCCTGGGACCTTGGGCACATACGCACATTTGCCCAACATGATTTTCAAGCTGCCAGGTCCAGGACTCAAACCATGGTCGGCCATGTGAGAGTTCAGAACCTTAACTACCACGTCCCCTGCTAGCCCTATACCATGCGTTATTTTTTTTTTAGAGAGACTTTTGCTATAAGGTGTTTGTGCTTGCAGGAGACACCACGATCCCTTCTCCAGTTTCCTCTAAGGATTTTGGGCACACATGCACATATACCCAGCCTGAGTTTTAAGCCACTGGTTCTGGGACTCGAACTGTAGTCGACTACATAGGAATCCAATAACATAACCATCACACCATCTGCTGGTCCCATACATGCATATTTTTGTAAGCATAAACACTCAAAGTCGT